AGTTTTTTTTTTTTTTGGGGGGGGGGTCCCAAATTTTGGACCATTTTCAGATATTTCTCGATTTATGCGTGTCATTAATTAACAACAATACTACCGTTCTGTGTACAGATCCAATTTTACCGGATGTCCCGAGGGACAATATAGCTTTTTTTTTTGCTTTTTTTTTTGCTTTTTTTTCCGAGGATCAGATATTAAACTGGTCAACACAGAAAAAAAAACTGCATTAAAAAAAATAATTAAAAAAAAAAAAACCTACAGTTTGATCTGAGCCAACGGTCGAGAAAGGCATAGGGCTTCGCTCCATTGCTCAGCACTCTACATGTATATGGTCTGCATTACGTGCCAGATGCATTCGGACAGATCGAACATTTTGCGTGTAACTAGACCATGGCCAGGTCCAGATACATGGAGAATGTTTTGCGGCGGAGCGAGGCACACAGTACCGTTTATTTTTACAAATAGGATATCTCCTAGCTAATATAGGTCACCAGAGTCAGTGAGAGCATACTCACATTAGCACTTAGTGTCACGTATCTGACCTCAATTACGGCCGGACCAGGATGAATCTGACGGCAATCACGTCCATTTATTTATTTGTATTTATTCATGTATTTATTCATGTATTTATTCATGTATTTATTCATGTATGTATTTATGTATTAAGTTACTATTAACAGTATTATGTATTTATTTATGTATTTATTTATGTATTTATTTATTGCTGGACCATTTCTCTTTTTTTTTTTGGGGGGGGGGGGTTCATTTCTTGACTTGCGCGTGTTATCACGTGCCACTTTGGGAATCCCCGGGCGAGGTCCCACTAGCAAAGAGGGGGTTGGGATTGAAAGACTGAATCTGGACGAGCGCGTGGAGATGTGCAGGAAATCGTGATTGATCTCCATTTCTGCATCTCTGCTCGAATCCCGTCCAGATTCAGGCGCTTAATCCCTTCCCCCGAACACAACGCACCCTCATCATGACTTCATCCGATTGCAAAAGTATCTTGTATACATTTATCATAGGTGTTTTTTTGGCCCCGTCATACATATATACTCTGTTTTACGGTATCTATATGTGAGTCGGTGCGGTGAATCTCCGACGACTCATAGGTGTTCGTTGTGTTCGGTGGAAGCCAGTTCGGCTACTTCCTGTCTCTTATACACATCTAGATGTGTATAAGAGACAGGAGAGAGAGAGAGCTCACCCTGCTGCTTCATGCCCAAGGATGCAAGGGAAGAGTCCCTCCGGATCCTGCATTAAGCACACAAACGGCAGAACGGCAGATTGCGATTGGTGAGTGCATTTCGTTGCCAGAATCACGGTTCAAACTTCAAATCCCGAGCTCGCCAATCACTCAATGCAATCCTCGTTACAAAAATGGGTGGTGAGCAACAAGCACAAAAACGGCAAGCCTGTCCTGAGAGCAGGGAGGATAGGCCACACACAGAAAAAATCAGCACAAAAAGACGAACCTGTCCTGAGAGCGTGTATGCATCAGTGTGGCAGAGCGCCGTGTGTGTGATCTTGATCCTGACCTGCGCAAAACACGAAACAAAAACAAAACAAAACAATGACAGTAAAAAAGAAGAAGTGAATTACTAATTAGTCATCTGATTGGACCTCTTGCATTGGATTCACCACTCTCCATCTCCACACTTCCCACTCACGTTGCATATGCAGCTTCTACGGACCAACATCTGTTAATCCATCAATCAATCAGTCAATCAATCAGTCAATCAATCAATCAACCAGTCAAATGAATCAACCAGTCAAATAAATCAACCAGTCAAATAAATCAGCCAATCAATCAATCAACCAGACAATCAAGCACTCTATCAACCAGTCAATCAACCAAACAGTAAATCAGTCAATCAATCGATCAATCAATCGATCAGTCGATCAATCAATCAGTCAATCAATCAATCAGTCAATCAATCAATCAGTCAATCAATCAGTCAATCAATCAATCAGTCAATCAATCAATCAATCAGTCAAGCAGTAAATCAGTCAATCATTCAGTCAGACAGTCAATCAATCAGAACCGATCAATCAAACGAAACAATTAATTAACAGATCATTGGATCACTTCACTTTTTTAATTTTGAGCCCTCATTTTCTTTCACCTTATTGCTCCCGTACATAACGGCATCACAGCTGCTCACAATTTGACGAACAGTAAACCAATCAACCAGTCAATCAGTCAATCAGTCAATCAGTCAATCAGTCAGTAAACCAATCAACCAGTCAATCCTCCAATCAATTAAAAAAAACAATCAACCAATCAATCTACAAACCAATCACGCAGCCATCAACCTGCAAAACATAAAGGATTTCCTCTGCTTTCACAACTGACCCAAACAGGACAACAAACTGACCCAGCAGCTTGGATCCTCTTTTGAAAAAGCACTGCAAGATTTCTCCCCCCCCCCCCCCCCCCCCC